GAGAGAGAGAGAGAGAGAGAGAGAGAGAGAGAGAGAGAGAGAGAGAGAGAGAGAGCATGCATGAAGAAGGCCAGGAGGAACAGAGAGAGAGGGAAGACAAAGAAAGAAAGAGAGAGTGAGCCATGGAGAGAAGAGAGTCACCTACCTTAGATGAGGACGCTGGTATTGGGTTGCTGAACTCTGCACTGTTGAGCGCTTGGTGACTGGACCTCCGAAACTGTTTAATGTGATAATTTGTTGGAAGCTGCAAATATCTGGAATTTGCATCTCTGGACTCCAGTGTGGATTTTGTGTAATCTCTCAATGTGTGTGTGTGCTCAAGGTGTCGAGCAGTGATGCTCAATGCATCGCAAGGAATTCAGTCCAAAAGGGCATTACACTCTACCCACATCTTTTAGGGGCATTTTGACATATATCATGTATGTCACCTTTGAGGGCTATAACGGAAATGTTTCCTTAAGTATATCATATTATATTATATCATATTGTAATGACCTGACCAAACACGGACTGAAACACAGCTGATTTCTGAGTTTTGCTCATGGACTGAATGCCTTGCTGAGTTTCCCGCTTGCTACTGAGTTCTCTAAGTCTGTGTGTGTGCACGCTTGCTGGTCTGCATGTCTGTCTGAGTGCTTGTCTGCTTGAGTGTGTGTGTGACCCGCAAGGGCACTTGTTCATTCATTGGGCCCGAAGGGCCGGTACTTACCTGTGGCCATGGCATTGAGGATTGCAGCGGGGAAAAAACTCAAGTGGCGGGGAAAGAGGCCTGCAACACTTGAAGCAGCGGGGAAACACTCAAGTAGCAGGTAGGCCGGTACCACACCATGTAGAGGTAGATGTGCCGGGTATTCGAGGCCAAGCAGAAGAAGACAAAAGTTGGCATTTTTAGAGGCCAAGTAGTTGTAGGCTAGGTCTAGGCGGGTACCAGTCCAACCAGTCTGAGTCTAGGGCCTGTACGGGCAATATCAGAGTCTGCAATGATGCTTCCCTCCGAAAGGGAGGAGGTACCGGTTGTTTGGAAGGCCGAGCAGCCTGGAAGTCACCGCCCAAGAGGCAAGAAGGCTGCTATATCTCCAGGCCGGGCGAAGAGCCCAGCCTCATTGTCGGTGTGCAAGTTACGCAACACACTGGTTGGAGCGCTGGCTGGAGCAGCACTAGCAAGGAGCAGCGCTGCTGGGGAGGAGCAAGGACAGGAGGAAGGAGAAGACCGAGACTACGAGGGAGGAGCGCCAGAGGTACTTACCTGGCTATGGTGGATGCCATCTTCATCACCTTGGTGGGCGCTGCAGCAGGAAGACCCCAGTTGGGGAAGAGCTACACCAAGAAGCCTCGAGGCAGAGTCAGGCATGGCGGCCTGAGCTAGGACAGCCATAGCTGCTTTGGGTTGTCCCTCGGACATCAGGGTCAGGCCCTAGTAGTCCGCCATAGCCTCAGCCTTGGACAAAGGAGGAGGACGGGTGGCCATGGCTATGGTGGAACCCATGTGATACCTGCAGTAGACGAGGGATTCGGACATTGATTCTGGTTCAGCATTCAACATTGTATTATTATTTCTTGTGTGAATAAGAAAGGAGGAGATAACGAGGAGGAGAGTGATTGGTGAAGAAGAAGAGCATTCTCATTGGTCTATGCTGGTGTACATCATCTTCTTCTTCTTTCTTTCTACTTCGTCTTCTTCTAACCCTCTCTCTCCTCTCAAGTTCATTCGTTTCTTTTTGCAAGTGGACGGCATTGTACTATCTGATGAATGTGTATTTCGAAATTGGCCAGGATCATAACAATATAATATATATTTCATTATTGCAATCAGACTCACTTTCTTCTTCAACTCGCATGCATCCAAACAGATGAAACTGTACACTGGCACTGTGCGCCCACACAAAGCTCGGAGATGTTCAAGTCATGAACACAGTTCAGATGCAAACTCGCTTTTAGCTGGCTATGGCGCCCCAGCGCCCAACATCCTTCCCAACTCGTGTCCCCGACCAACTGTTCACACACACTCACACTTAACTCTGGATCTCCCTGGATACTCCACGCACGCTCACTCTGTGTCTCCCACACACATACACACTAGTACCTATTACTAGCTATGGCAGCTATGGCTGCCGGCTATCTCTACTACAGGCAGCTATGGCTTCTCTGACTCTGCTTCTGCCCACTTCGACTTCAGGCAATCTGCAGACCACCTCGCACAAGACGCTAGGACAGCGCTTCCGCATGGCTCACGCAGGAATGAATGAATGGCTGGACGCTGCCTCTTGATTTATACTTCTGTAAGTCGCTGGTCTGCCCCTTTCCACCGGGCCCATGGTGCACACAGTCCCTCATTGTACTCGCTGACTGAACAAAGTGAGACTGGGACTGGGTACCGCTGACTAAGCGAAGTTGGACTCACCACTTGCCCACTTGCCTCTGGTCTGCTGTGTATAACGTGAGAAGAAACTTGAAAGGCCACTTCCGGACTTTCCTGGAAGTTTGCGGGCTTGGTCTTTCAGGACTGTAGCAGCTACGACCTTGACCTTTCAGGACTGTAGCAGCTACGGCCTTGACCTTTCAGAATTTGTGGACTCGGCCTTTCAGGACTGTAGCAGCTACGACTACAACAACTATGACCCCTATGCAGGTATGACCCCTACTTCGACACGTCTAAGGTTCAAGACCCGACAACTACTCAGACCTACGACAGACAACTTTCAACTACTAACACACAGGCCACGGGTTCAAGACACACAGGGTCGACTTGATACTGTACACGGGTAAGGTAAGGTAAGGTACGGTAAGGTCTGGGGATTGAGCCCAGGGATCTGCATCTGTGACTGCAAAAGGTGAAAACCGTTTCATTATATTCAATTATTTATAAAATAGTATATTATGTCACAAAAAAGGAACTATAGAATTGACTCTTGACTCCTTATGAAATAAATGCCATATGTGTGACATCATTATGCAGGACGATATCATCACAGATTGGCTTCAAATAAGTTCATCCGATACCTGTATGCATTTCGCATGATCTTCCAAGATGAGCTCCCGGAGACGAACCAGGTCACTCTCATTTAACCCTTGAGGAAGACGATCTCCATGTGCTCGTCTGCAATCCAGAAAGTCTATTGCCTGCATGTCATGTTTCAGTAACAGATTACCTGAGTCAATAGGGTTTCCTCTGTTCAAAACTGTGCCTCCCCTGCCTCCCCCCGCCCCCTGCCCTTTTTTTTTCTCCATAATGGGTCCTCATGGCGTGGCTCTTGCCATTCTGGGGAGCGACAGTCCGGTTCCTCTCCACCGGCAAGTCAAAACATACATATGACAAAGTCAAAACATACATACGAGTCTGATATGACAAAGCCAAAACATACATATGAGTCTGATACGACAAAGTCAAAACATACATATGACAAACTCTTTGACACTTCCCCAAGTTACGGCCCAAGGAACCATGACTGCATTGATTATTTCTTCACAGAAGGATTGACTGTCAGTTAACCCCATACCTTTGACAACCCCCCTCCCCCTGACAGCACTCTCTCCACCTTAAAAAAGCATCCCTGAAAAGCTGCCTTGAGCATCCCTCTCAGACTCTCAGTCTTTTCAGTAGACTGGCAGATAAACCCTAAACCCTAGCATGCCTCCTGCTACTCTTCCTGCTGAATACCAGTGTGTTGTTGACTCTGCCGCTTGGTCTTCCTGAGGTCCTTTGTCTTATGGAGAGCTGTAGTCCCCCCTCTCTTTTTCCTTCTTTTTTTGTGACCTTTGTTGTCTTGTCCTGGGCTTCTCCTTCCTTGGTGGCCTTGGATTGTCGTTCTCCTGCATTATAATGCTGCCTCTCTGCAATCTGCTCCACTGGTCTCGTCTGATTGGCCTTATGTGTGTTGTCCCTTTTTTTTTTTTTTTTTTTTGATTGTTCCGTACTTGATAGTCTCTTCTGACAGATTTAGTGTTCCGGTTCTTCTACTTGCTGCTCTTTGAGTTAAATTCTTATTCTGACTGTTCCGCTGTCCCCCCTTTGAGCTCCTCTGGGAAACAATTGGTTTTAACTTTTAACAGTTGGTTGTTGTATCTGATTTCGATTCTTACGTAAGTATACAACCTGCTCCTTTTCTCTCTCTCTCTTTTTTTTTTTTTTAACCACCACTACCTTTTTTTTGAATTTTTTTGCCATATTTCGTGGATTTCTGTTCCCATTATCTGTTTGATGGTGATTAGACGGTTTTTCTGAAGGGGTGGAGTGGTCTTCGAATGTAAGGCAGCACCGCCTTTTCCAGATCACCCAGAGGGTGCCTTTTCTGATTATAGAGAAGAGGAATTGGTCAAAAGACTCAAAACCTCTGAGCGCGGGGGACTGATCGGAGTTCAGGAATAGGGTGGAAGCCACTGGAAGGGTTAATGAGAAATTATGAGTATGGTTCTGCTGCTGGATAGTGTGTCCCATGAAAGTTCTATGTATGACCACAGCTGTTTGGCTTTCTCGCATTCTATGAAGCTGTGGTTGAGAGATTCCTCGGTTTGAGAGTCACATACTTTGCAACGGGTTGACTGTTCCGTTCGATTTCCTTTCTTCTTCTCTGAGCTAGCCATTGCATTACCGTTACTGCTGTGAAGGTTAAGAGCCAGAAAAGACTGGCCAGTTTGACAGGTCTAGTGCTGAAAAGTGTAGACCAGTGGTGTTTCACTATTGCTCTGTTCGAGTATGTTGAGTGTGCTCTCTTGTTTCTCCCATCTTTTTTGTAGTAATTTAGATATTGAATGACGGTTAGAGTACAGTTTATAACCTAACCTGGGGTGGTAGTTTGTTAAAGCATAGCATCTTGCTATGGTGGAGAGGCGACTGGGAATGCTCCATGACCACTCTATTGGGCGAATTTCTAGGTTGTGTAATGCTGTATCCAGTTTGCATGCCTGTTTCTTTCCCCTTATATGATCCTCATTCTTCTGAGCCTTTCTATTTTGAAGACGCCTTCTGCTCTGTTTTTTTTGGTGAAGAGGCTCGCTGGGTTGCCAGGTTCTTCAAGCGGGTAGACAGAGCAAAGTATCCATTCCTTGTGTTGCGATTCTAGTTTGATTAGTTTCAGGACTTCCTGGGGTCGTCCTTGGTCAGGTGTTGATGGCACTTGATGCCTGGTCCCCCTCAGAGCAACTGTTGTTCGTCCTTTAATAGGTGTGTCCATTCGATGGCAATGGCGTTGATGATGAGAGATAAGTTGGCTGTTGGTTGTGGTTCCTCTTAAGTTTCGTTCTTTGTTCTTTCTCAGATTTCCACTTATTTGTCCTTTCGTTCCACAGATGGCGGAATTGTCCCACTCCTTTTTCTAGGCAGAGGTCACATTTGGCGTTTGATTAGCTGAGTGGGAAGGTTTCTCGATTCTCGTCCTTGATCCAGGGGTTGCCGAATAAGGGTTGCCTTAGAACTTTGTCTCGTCTTTTTGGGCCGGTCGTTTTATCAGGGAAATGTTTCCTCCAAGTGTGGATGCGTTGTTTCCAGAAGGTTTTGGGTGATTCCATGTCTTCCTCTGCTTCTCAGTCGCCCTGTGTGATTCTTTTAGTGCTCAGCAGGGGGCCATTGTTTGTTAAAGATCCAAAAGAGGCCTGACATGTTGGGGGGTGATTTGAAAGGAGCCAGCTCTCTTATGTGGCTCAGGGCTAACATGTATCCAGGGGAGTTTGCCTTGGAGGGTTAGTCTGATAGTCCATTTGATGTGCAAAGCTTGTATTTGGCGAGCTGGATCGATGATGCCCAAGCCCCCTTTGCCCTTGGTTTGTGTGACTCTTTGCCAAGCGACTCTGTGAATGAAGTGTTGATTGTCTGGGTTGTCTGTCCATAGGAACGTTGCCGCTCTTTAGGGGATGGGAACCAGATAGTGGTGACGTACCACATCATTGGTAATATTGAGTCGTTAAGTGCTAATACCCTTCCTAGGAGTGAGGTATTGCGAATAGTACATCATGTTGATCATGGACGACATTAAGGAGGCCGCTGATGAGGGATGGCATCCTTTCATGCTAAGGTTTACGCCAGGAAAGCGGATGGGGGAGGAGGGATTAGCCCGCTGCATTCCTTCTGGGTTGATTGCAAGCGGGGGAGGGGCTTCCGAGAGCCGCCAGCAAACTGTTTGCGCCCAATTTACTCACATTTCTGAAGCTAGTTGAAAGGCTTGCATTGCTCATCTTAGGGTTTGGAACGATGAGTTGGAGGCTCTAATGAGCACTGCCAAATCGTCTGCGAAGAGGAGGGTGGTAGGTAAGTGAATCGAGTAACCTCTCTCGTCTCTGATGCCCTCCAATCTTTCTATGGAAGCGCCTTTTCTGAGGAAGACTGTTATGGCTTCCATGACGAAAAGAAAGGCAGCTACTGGGTCCCCCTGTCTTACCGATCTGGTCATTTTGTAAGGGTTAGAGAGGAATCCATTAACTTGCCCCAATTTATCTTCCTTTTTTGATTCCTTACTCAATTCTTTACTCATGCTGAACAGTCCTTTTGCAAAGTTTGGTAGTATGTTTTTGCCCTGCAATCTAGGTGTGTAACCCTCCTATGTCTGCTTTGCCACCTCTTTGAAACTTTCTGACTTTAGAAGGGAGTTACTAACCTTGTAGAAGCTATGCCCGGATTCGTTCTCCATACCGAAGTTGAGTAGCAATCCCACTTGTCTATGATCAAAACCTCCATAAAGGGCGGCTTGAAGATGGCTGATGCTATTGCTGCTCCTGTTAAGGACTCCGAGAAAAGAAAGTAGTCTTTTCGTGAGAAGGATGTTCTCCCCTGCTGTGTTTTCCTAGCACATGTGAACCTTTTGGCCTCTGGGAAACTTGTTCTAAAGGGGTCTATCAGTTTCTTCTCCATCATGAATTCTACCATTACTTGGTCTTCTGTTTCATCTATCCTTCCTCTGGCATCGTAGATCCTGTCCCGAAGTGGATCTGTTGTGGCATTCAAGTCTCCTACTGCTATGGTATGGCGGTGGTTTGGGCATTCCTGTTTGATTGTATTTATTAGCGCTCTCCTTTGTGCATTGGTGTTCGGTGCGTGAATGTTTAGCAATGATCTCTTCTTGGCCGTAGCTGAAGTCAATTCTGATCCATCTACCCTTCATTGGATCCTTTGTTACCTGTTCTATGCTCAGCAATTGCGCCCCCCTGGCCCTTTTTCTTTTTTTTTCTGAACAAGACCGACAGGTTGATTTAGATCAGCAATAAATCTCCACCCGTCATCGCCGGCAACAATCAAAAAAAGTCTGTCAAAACCCTGTAAAATAGTCATTGGCATAGGTGCGACCCTACGCTGCGTTTCAGCTGGTTGCCAGCCAACACTCATCAGGGGTCAGTCGTCGCGAGGACGCGCTTTGTCAACAGGACTAGGAAAACATCGTCCGGTTTGTGGAAAAGACTGACACTTCAATCTTATCCTTACCATTGAAAAGAACTACGATTCCAGCGGAGGCTGATTTGGGTCTGTTCACCCGTTCAGCCCTCTGATCGTGTTGTAGGTTTTTCACTATATCCTCTTGGATTTTTTTGTGTTCCTCATAGTCTGTCAGGTGTGTTTCTTGTACACAAATTATGTCTGGTGGGTCCTTGTCAAACCAGTTAGTGTTGGCTGTCATTCTGAACCATTTCAACGGTGAGGACAGGATGGTGGCCAATCCGTGAACGTTCCAGGATCTTATATCCAGTTCCACTTTTGCCTTTGCCTTTCTGTATTCCTTCCCCCCCCCCCCCCTCTCCCTCTCACTTTGTCCTCGTCCTTCTGTCATGGTTCACTTTTCTCTCATCTTCTATGGTTCTAAGTTATAAGAGTCAAAAGATGTCCAGGGAGACAGTGTTGGGTGCATTGAGTGAAGGGTTGGGCGGCCCCCCCCTCCTTCCTGGAGGGGATACAGCATGCTTTCCACCTCCACAGGGCCCTTTCTGTAAATTCCCAGGCAAAAGTGTTTGTCAGGCTTGCTGCTGGCAGCTCTGGTAACACACTTGTGCCCCTTTCTTAATTAATCTAACATTTCCAGAGTAACAGACTTCATTCACAGGGCTCAGTCAACCGTTCTGCATTCTGCAAATTACCAAGGAGTATTCCTCAACAGAAGAAAACAGAAGGCTTTGCTCAGTTGGTTGAGGATGTAAGTGGC